ACACACACACACACACACACACACACACACACACACACACACACACACCAGAGATTAAACAACGTGTTCTTGAACGACCAATATGTAACTGGAAGTATCAGGGTGAAAAATAAAAACCTTCCTAGAATTAAATGAAACTGAAAGCACAGCTCATCAAAGTCTTTGGGATGCAATGAAGGAAGCTTTCAAGGAGCACCTTACAAGGAGCACGAATGTTTACGTTAAAAAACTAAGAGGAGGAGGTGGAGGGGGGTGAATTATAAACCAAGTATATTATAAACCAAGTATAACTATACACCTGTATGAAAATACTGTAATGAAACTCATTATTTTATATGATGACTTAAAAGGAATAAGAATCAGATCCCAAACAACAGCTTACTGATGCATCCCAAAGTCTAAGAAAAACAACAAGCCAAACTCCAAAGTAGCTAGAAAAATGGCAGCTCTTCAATAAACAGTCTTGAGAAAACTGGACAGCTACATGTAGAAAAAAAAACCAAAATCCAGCCCCCATAGTAGTAGAATTTTATTTAGCTATAAAGAAGAGTGAATTGGGGCTGGATAGATTCTTCATGGTTAGGAGTGCATGTTTCTCTTGCACAGAACTGAAGTTCAGTTCCCTAACCCACATTCTACAGCTCACAACTGCCCCTAAGTCCAACTCCAAGGACTCCAACACCCACTTCTGACCGTCACAGGCAGCTGCACTCAGGTGCACATACCCATACAGACATGAACTCAACAGACATAACTAAAAACAAAAACAGATGAAATCAGATCATTTGAAGGGCAGTAGGTGGAACCAGAGGTCACTATCACACTAGATGGGGGTAGGGGAGGGACCAGAGAGGGAGCGGGACCAAGGTGGAGGATGAGGGAGAGGGAGGAGGGCAGAAGACAAGCCAGAGCGGTGCAATGATAGGAATTTATGAAAATGTCCAAGTGAAACCCATTGTTTTGTATGCTAATAAAACATCAATTAAAAAACAAAGTAAGATCCTATATACCCCACTAAAGAAAGGTGATCTCAGAGGACTGTGAAGGGTATCAGGAACTGATACGCAGACAGGCTGGACAACAGATTCCAAGTTACAGACAGCAGGAAAAATCAAAGGGTCCTACTTTGTAACTGAGTGACAACTTACTGTACATCCCCAAACCACTAGCTGAGCGGATTTCTGGATGTCATTCTTTAAAGGGAATGATAAATGTTTGAGGTGACTGATGAGCTAAATGCTCAAATTTCATGGTTGCATCTTATATAAATATAGCAAAATATTATACTGTACCCACAGATATGTCCAATTATTCTATGTAAATTAAAAAATAAAATTAAGCAACGAGTCCTTGGAAAATAAGCACTATATAACTGAGGCTAGCAGAGAGGATGCTGTGGGTGAGTTGAGTGATCACAGGAATGTATTTGTGATGGCCTGGGATGAGCAGATGCTGGAGGTAACATTGTTATAACTCTGTGACTGCCTGGGATGAGCAGATGCTAGAGGCAACACTGTTATGACCCTAATACACCATAACCCACAGTGCTGTGTCGGGTAGAGCCAGAAAAGAACCCAGTCTATCCTAGTGGGGGATTGTTGAGATCTCTGTTTCTTCTTATGTCCATGCCAGGGCTGCAGAAATCTCACCAAAGATCCGCTATGACTATTCTCTGGTCACTTTAGAGATTTTGCTCAGGCCGTGTGATCCAGGACCCACTTCCTGTTTGTTTGTTTGTTTTTTTCTCTCTCTGTGTGTTTTTCACCATTCTCAAATTGTCCCTGGAGGATTCCATTGGGATGCCTTCTCTCTGCTTTAGGTGGATTGTAATTCAGACAGTTTGGCTGGTGTTTGAGCCAATGCCCTAGTGAGCACACTTCATCTGTGCTCCCGATTTAAGTCTGCCTGAGACATGAAACTATTTGCAGTACAGTCATCTCATCTTCAGGGGAGAGATCCGAGGATCAGACAGTCAACATTGGTCGAGTCAGTTTTGGAACAACGGGCTTTTGATTTCCAGGGAAGGAATCAAGAAAGGACCTCACCATTAGCAAGTTCACATAAACAGGCTTTCTACATTCTTCACTCAGTGTGCTGTGTTTGGGAACGTCATTTAGTGAGGAGAAAATCTTAGGCATTCTGTACCTTCCACACATTTCTTTCGGTGTCATAAACGCCTCCCATATCTAATAACTGTCTGATCAACTCCAGGGGTGGCTGTGCTCCACATGTGTCTTGTACTGGCATATTCAAGTCATCAATAAACACAACAATCTTAAGGGAGACAGAAAGTGTAAATATATTAATTAGTAAAACCTTTTAGAAAATTATGATTTATGGATATTAATTATGATACTTCTCAAGACAGAAACTGTATGCAATGACCTGTTTTTAAAGACTAAAAACAGAAGATCAAATCTATTTTGTAGATGTGGTCATGGAGGACAGTGAGTGTTCAAAACAGCAGGAACTCTGTCCACACTTGATCCCTAGAACGACTGCACAATGCTCTTAGGAGTGGTTTGATGCTGACAACGCAGCTTAACTAAAGCACTTCTAGGTGTGCCAGCATACTGAGCGTTTTCTTATCATGGGCTTGCTTTTGGCTTTCATGTAGGATTTGGCTTTTTCTACTTCATACGCACTCTAGGTTGGACCGGAAGTTTAGAAACACGTCCCAGTGTTTAAATCTATTTTACTTTTTGCCTAGGAAAATATCATGCTGTCAAGTGTAATGATTATAATCTCTGCAATGGACTCTTTTGATTGTTTTTATGTTTTGTGAAACAAAAACACAGATAGCTGCTTTAATTTCTGAATTGTTAACTGCTGTTGTTATCTGAGGAGAACACTGTTTCCGCTCCTCTAATACAGACTAGCAGCCATGTTTCTTGCCTGCATGTTCTAACGGTGTGAACGGTGTGATTATAGGCTGCAGAGACCCTTTCAAAACCCCTAAGCTTACTTACGTAAACCGAGATCCATCAGTTCTATCCAAATCTTCAGTTGAAGTCAAGAAAATCTGAAACAAGTCTTTAGCAGTAAAGAAAGCACAGCATTGTGTGCAGGGCCCCAGGGGGCCCGGTCAGGCTTGTTTATGAATCTTGGGAACCTCTTGGAACTTCATGGTACTAAATGGGAGTCAGTGACCATAAATTCCAACTGCAACTCAGACAATGAGTGGACAGCTGACTTCATGCCAAGAGGACTCGGAGTGGAGACATTCGGTGCTCCGGTCTCTTAGTCTATGGGTTCCAGAAGTCTCTCTTTCTCTCAGAGCTTCATGTAGTAGAACAAAATGAGCTAGAAACTACAGCAACAAAACCCCACTGGCTAATTCAGTTTCCAGCCAATCTTTATCCAGATTTTGGCTTACTCTTCTGGTCTTAGTTAGTCCCACTCAGGACAACTCATTGTACTGGAAGAGGAGTGAACTGATTTGAAGATCAAAGTTCCTATTGTGAGTGTATCTTTAAGCAATGCCTGGGAATGCACATTCTCCTTTTTATTAACTAAACAAACCAACTCATTCATCAACTGCAGCACACAGGCTGCTCAGCGGGGCCGTGTTACCCTGTTGTTCTTCGGTGCTCCCAGAATGTCTTTGGTTCTTCTTACTAACTTCCGCAGAATCAGCTCCTTGGTTTTGGCAGCTGTCATGGTGGTGGTAAGATTTATTGTGGATACTATAATTCCTTTATCATTTTTAATGGTGCTATCATCAGTTTTAGCCTCTTCTTTCTTTGCATCCTGTTCTATGATGCCAACACAGACACACACACAGATACACAAACACACACACACACACACACACACACAGAGAGAGAGAGAGAGAGAGACAAAAAAAGGCAAAAAAGAAAAAAGAAAGAAATTTAGAACAGTTTAAGCAATTTTTGCTTTGTTTTAGAGTGTCCAGAAGTGTGAAGCTAAGGAATTTTATTTTGTTGCTCATATTTTAATGTCAGTGCTCTGAGACAGAAGCTTTGAATGGTTCTAGACATGCGATAGTGTGAACCCTCTGTCATGGATGTTAGATACTTCTAACAGAATGACTGAAAAGCAGCATGCAGCACGACTTTCTATTAGTGTTCATTCTCAGGGTAAGAACCACCCAGGGGCACGCATGGGATGATGCTACAGTGTCATAAGAGCCCAAGCCACCACTGGGACTCCCGTTTCTGTTGTGTGCCCTGACATGAGATCTGCAGAACCACACACTTTTCTCCTGTGCTGTGCTGGGAAGCAGGAAAGACTGCAGCCAGATAGCACCTCTGGATTTCATGTGCACTTCTCCCAGGAGGGCAGGCTCATGGATGATGCACATAACCACACATAACCATGTGCAGCCCCTCCTCCAGAGCCGCTGCATCTGTTCAGTGATTTGAAAGGGTCCTGGACAACTTCCCACAGACCGTGTTTGAAAGGAACAATTCCAGAGTTTACCATGTGACTTTGCACAATGAGGAATGGCTGGCATAGGGCTACAACAGAAGAGTCTTGGTCCCATGACTTCCCACTTACCAAGGCCTGCTCCAATTGTTTTGATGGGCTCACCAATCAAGTTGTTGATATTCTGCCTGAGGCTGTTGGAATAAAGTGTTTTATTAAAATTTATCATTTTAGCTGCAGTATTTAAAGTCTAACCAAAGTAAGAGCAGATTATTGATTTTACTTAGATTTCCCACAAGAAAATATTTACTTTTCCATTCACATGTTTATAGTCTTAAGGCTTCTCCACATTCCGTTTTCTAATTCAGCTGAAAAAACAGGCTTCTCTAATATTTGAACAATGTAAGACTTAATTTTAGAAATGTGTATTTCAGAAATTTTTATCTGAAAAGCTTAGGTTTATATTTTTCTTTTAGGAAGAGGCAGACAGAATGCAGAACAATAGGTACAAGCCCCTTGTAAAAAGTCTATGTTTCACAAATAGATGATTTATTTCTACTACAACACACTGATATTATGTAAAACTTTGTGAGTATATTCAAGGTGCATTTTTCCCCCAGGAGGAAAATAGTTTATAGCTATATTTTATGTTATGTGAAAATCTGTGGTTCTAAACTTAAATTTAAAATAAATGCTGTTTCTCTGATGTAAAGGAATGAATCTAGCCATTAACACCTTGGAAAAAGTAAAGATTTTCTTCTAAACAAAGAATCAGAGTATACAAATCACGATGGAAATAAAATCAGCAGCAAAAAAAAAAAAGTCCCTCATCAAACAAAAACTCATCTCAGAACTGTACAGTTTCTCACTAAATTCTAAAGTTCATATACTAACAAACATGGAGTTAGAAGGAATATTTTCAAACTCATTTTACAAGGGCTAGCATAGCCCTGATAAGAAAGCCAGAAAAATGTCACAGGTAAAGAAAATTTCAGGACAGTATCATTTAGGAACAGAGATGCAAACAAATAAACAAAACCAAACAAATAAACAAAACAAAAACAAACTTCAACAGAAAGCTAACAAACTCAAATTGACAGTGCATTAAAGAGACCACTCTTTATGATCAAGTGTGATCTATCCCTGGCATGCAAAGATGGTCCAACAGAGACAAATGAATGAAAGTGATACATCATAGTAACAGAAGAAAGGACAACAACAGCTCTGTCATCTCAATAAGGAGTCTTTGTACTGAAAACTATAAGGAAGTCAAAAAGTCACACAAGTATCTGGAACTAAGGCTTGTCTTCATGGCTTAGAAAAAGTCATACTGTTACAATGTTTATACAAGATTCCATTCTGCCCTCTACAGGCATCCACATCCATAGCACATACCTCCACACAGATATAGTTTAAAACATTTAAAATTAAAAAGTATATAATACAGATGCATATTAATCAAAACAGCAAGATAGTGCCAAAAAGAGTGAACTAAAAAAGGTGAGAAAGGTTATGTTCTGCACAGTCTCTACTATACTAAGAATCTAAAGAAAGTTCAACTCGTGGAAACAGAAAGAGGGGTAGGTGTCAGGGGCTGAGGGTGAGGTGGGAGTAGATGGGGTGTCTGCCCAAGGGTGCAAATAGGAGGAGTCTGATTTCAAGGTCTATCACGTGTATGGAGGGCACAGCAACATGTTCTGCAGAACTGCTGGAAGCACAGATCCGAAGTGTTCTCACCACAAAGTGTAAGTGTGTGATGGGAAGTGATGCTAACTAGAGAGTGTGCTTTTACAACTGTGCGTCTAAAAACCACCCATTCTGTCTCACAAATATATACAATTATTATGTGCCGATTAAACACAGACATTAAAGTTAAGGAGACACTGGGAAAATATTTCTCTCTTATTGCCTCATTTGAATAATTCCCATTGTTATATAAAAGGTCTACTTTGTAAGAGCAAACTCAACAAGCATTCATCAAGGACACAGTTTTACCAGATAAGCCAAATTTAAAGTTTAATATATACAACCTCGGTCTTTTAATTTCGTTATGTAACAGGACTTTTCCTAAAATTGAGCCATATTTGATATCTAATGTTCCTCGTCCCTCTAGCTTCTCGAGCATGTCATTGATGGCAGTTGTCTTCCCGACACCAGAGTCTCCTAAGGAGGAGAACATGAGGTTAGGACCACACACCAGGAAATGATGCGTCTCTGTGTTAAGATGAGCCAGCATCACTTTTATCCCTTTGAAATTTGCATGTAAAGCATGTTTTCTGCTTTTCAGTTTTAAAATGGAGAAAAGTTAATTGGGAATGTAATATGAACTTTCAAATAGTTTGAATTATTTATGCTTATTACAAAATATAGATTAGGAGATACTTAAAATTCTTATTGCTTGTTCATTTAAGTGTATCACAACTCTTTCTTGCTTATAGCATGCTAGAACTACATTAAATGAAACTTTGAAAAACAAATGAAGCCCAGTGTAAAAGAAGACATTCTATGTGCATGAGTGCCATGTCTGCACATGTGTGGCAAATCTGCATGACTCTTGCACAGGAAGGCTGTAGACTGTCCTGGAATTGGAATTACAGGTGGCTATGAACTATGGTTTGGGTGTTAGGAAAAACCCCAGCCCCCTTCGAGAGCAGAAAGGGCTGTTAACAATGGAGCTGTCTCTCCAGTCTTCTTCCTCATTTTTTAAAGGGAGGGTCGTATGTAGCCTCGGGTGGTCCTGAATTAAACAATCTTCATGCCTTAGCCTCCTGAGTACTGGAATTGCAGGCACCCACTACAACACCCAGTTTCCTTAATCTTTTATTTTTATTTTTTTATTTTTTTTTTTTACTAACACAATCTAAAGGAGGGATCTAGTAATAAACTTACTGAAGCAGAACATGTCCATGACTCCAAGTTTACAGAACAAAAAATTTAAGAGTTTTCTTAGAGGAAATTAGAGGCAACTATCTGAGTGTCATGTGGTCAGGTTCTTTGTGCATGTTTCTGGGAGTACTCTACTATTTGCCTCCAGTGATCTAAACACAGATGAGGGAAAAGAAACTGGGAATCAATGGGTTGGATATTCAGAACAAATAAGAACTGTCTTGAGTCACTTCTTTGGTACTAGAAAAAGATTGAAAAAATTTTACACCATATTTACAAATTGTATATTTAAGTTTAATCAGACAGTTGGTGTCCAGAGGTTGCTGGGCCTCTAAGGACTAGGGCCCATGAGCTATGAACAATTGGTGTCCAGAGGGGTCCTTAGATCAGGGTTCTTCCTCTGAGGACCAGGGCTCATGAACTATGAAGGTCAATCACATACTCATCCAAAGTATCTATTTCTAGATTTTGCCTTCAATTAAAGTAATGAAAAGATAAAAAAGTATAACATTCAAGTCTGGAGTTGTAGGAACCCACACTGGGAGGTTGAGGCAGGAGGATCACATGTTCAATGGCAGGCTGGGATGCTCAACAAGAGCTCATCAAAACAAACAAACAAACAAACCCATTGTGGAGAAGAAGGAAGGAAGATCCACAGGTAGGTTTATTACACCCTGTATGACGATGAGCATTCATAGGCTGTTTGTGAGACTGTGAAAATGAACGTCTCTGAATTTTCAGGGCTTATTAACTAAGCACATTTAAAAATGCTTACACTCAATAATTGTTAAACTTCTTCCTAACCTGGAAATCCCCTCTCTGTTGCTTATTTTTCATACCTGTGAGAAGTACAGGGTAGGAGTTCCTCAGAAAAAGGCTCATGAGGAAAGAGAGGCAGACGGTGTCTCTGGTGGCCGTATAGTTCACATATTCTCCGTATTCCTTCATCCTCAGCACGTTCTCACCAGATCCTTGCAAGTCAGTCAGTAACGATGTCCCTAAGGTCAGAAAACAGTCGTTAGGTTTCAGATGACCTTGAATGAGATAGGAACCTATTATTTTTTGTGACATAATACTCTGTGGATAAGTCAGCAATGTACATGACAGATGTTGTTGCATGTGCCTAACGTCTTTGTTGATCTGAGATTGCTCTCTCAGGCGCCCTCAGCCGGCCAAGGTGTGCCTAGAAGAAAATTCCTTGATTTTCCTTCCTCAACCCTGCTGCAAGTCTGGTGGGTCCTACTAGAAGCTCCTCCCAAGCTGCCTGCCACTCTCCTAAGAACCCACCTCTCTGAGTGTCCCTCTCATTTTCCAGACTCCTTTCTGCTGAAAGTTGTGTTTTGAACCTTCAACCTTCTTATTTGAACCACAGGAAACTGACAATTCGACACACATGCACACAAACATGAGAACAGGCAAAAACAAAACTCTCTCTCTCTCTCTCTCTCTCTCTCTCTCTCTCTCTCTCTCTCTCTTCTCTCTCTCTCTCTCTCTCTTCTCTCTCTCTCTCTCTCTCTCTGACACACACACACACACACACACACACACACACACACACACGAACAGACAAAACCAAAACAAACCAACCCCTCCCGGACATGAATACTCTTTATAATGCTACCCTAATCGTGCCTTAAGACATCACTTTATTGTCACTGCTGTGCATTGTTATATGTAGGTGTGTGTACATGCCATGGCGTGCGTGTGGAGTAGGTCCTGTTCTTTTTACCTGGGCTCCAGGAATTGCTCCTTTACTCTCTGCACAGTCTCACACCCTTTAAAGAATGCTTGATCCTAATTCTCTCCCTCCTTCCCACTGACTTGCTTAGCTGGTGCTAGCACAGCCATGCTGATTCAGTGCTTGGTTACTCTTCATGGGATGTTAGCTGGACAGACTCAGAACATGCAGAGAGACGTGGTGCCAATCCTTGTCGTAGATGCAGCCTTTCTGCCCACCTTCCCTAATTACTAATTTCCACATGGTAGACTCTGTTCTGCCACTTGCTCCACTTTCATTTCAGTGAATTTAGGGAGTCTTCTAAGCCAGCCCAGATTTTTATTAGCATTATTTAATGGATGTTCAGTAAACCTTTTCCCAGTGTGGTAGTCATGGAGATCTATGTTATTTCCAATCTTTTGTTGTTACAAATAAGGCCAAGTTTATACAGTATTCACAGGTAATTCACACACAACTTCTGGAATAATTACCTATAAGCAGAGCTTATGGTCAGTGTAAACTGAGTCAATCAATTTTATGAATTGTAATTTTGATGGACACGGTCAAATTGTCCACCACCATTTGAGAAGCTTAATGACAAAGGTATCAAGTGTTTTAATCTTTCCAGTGTTATAAAAATTGTATCTAATTCTGGTTTACTTCTCATTTGTCATTTGGAGTCAATACTACTTATATTTGAGTCATTTATTTTCATGTCAACTATTTGTATTATTTGAATTTTTATTGTTAATTTACTGTAATGCTTGAGTTTTATAGATGCTTTAAGATAACATCAGCAAATTCTAAAGTTTAATTATCTCCAAATTTTGTATCTACATATTTTCTCTTTTGTAACCACACTGTTTTATATTTTCAAAATAACACTAGTTTAAAACATATGCTGCATAATGACAATGCTTCCCCATTTCCTCCAGTGGATTGTTTTATTTATTTATTTAAGTTTCATTTTATTATTTTATATGTCTAAGTATTTCTCTTGCAAGTATGCCTGTGCACCATGTGCATGCCTGGTGCCCTCTGTGTTCAGGAGAGGGTGATGGATTCCCCAGGGCTGGAGCAAGAGATAGTTGTGAGACATTCTGTGGAAGACTGCTGGAATCAAACCCAGTTCCTCAGCAAGGACAACAACTGTGGAGTCAACTTTCCAGCCCTGGTTTTGCTTTTTAATTCTGCATTTTTCATTAATAGCAGATCTATTCTGGGCCCGTGAAATATCTTAGTGGTAAAAGCTCTCGCCATGTAAGCTGAGTTTGATCAACAGAAGCAAAGAAAAGGTGGAAGGAGGGAACCTACTCTATAAACGTGTTTGCATACTTCCACCCGATTGCCATGACACATGTGCCCCCGCCCCTCACCATGGACATGTGTGTGCACACATACGTCACACACACACACACACACACACACACACACACACACACACACACCAAAACTTTTAAAAGATCTGTTTGGTTCTTTCTTAAATTGACTGTGCCACATATTTTTTATTTTGCGGGTATCCAGTGCCTTGCCTGCAACTATGTCTGCATTGTGCATGGATGCCAGAGGAGAACCTGGATGCCTTGGACTGCAGTTACAGATGGTTGTCAGCCATCGTGTGAACTCTAGGAATTGAGGCTGTGGCCTCTGCAAGAGCAGCCAGTGCTCTTAACCTCTGACCACTTCTCCAGCCCTGATCTTGTCAAAGTTTACACTTTGTACCTCTTTCCAAGTATTTTCAACCTGACTTTTTATTTGAAGTCAAATCACAGATTGCCTTGGGCGGTAAGGTGGATTTCAATGAACACCTTTATCTCTCCTTCTCATCAGTGTTACTAGGAGGTCTGTGGTATCCGACAAAGTAGCCTTGGCTGTAACTGAGCCTGGCGGTGCTAAACTTCTATAAGAACTCCTTGCAGGCCAGTCCCATCAGCTGCTTCAGTATCCTTTTCTCCTCAACCACATTAAACTCTACAGTTTTCTTGTCTCCTGTGTTGGACAAAGACCACCATGGTCTAACGTTTAAAAACATTAAAAAATTATACTTTAGTGTGTGTGGTCATATACACACCACAGCAAGCATACAGAGCTCAGAGGACCCTGTGGGAGTGGCTTCTCTCAACCTTGTGGATACCAGGGATCAAACTCGGGTCACCAGACTTGGTAGCCTTTATCCTCACAGGTCTGCATTATTTTTCTTAATGGCACTACAAATACAACCTCTTTGCTGTCATTTCGAATCACAAGTCCATGTCCATTTTTGACATTGGACCTTTTGATGGTGCTGAAGACTTTGGTGGTGGGAAATTTCTTTTCCTTATCTTTTCTGTCAGCCATAGCTAAGGAGGCTGTGGCTGAAGATGCCAGGACTGTGGGGCAATAGTGACAGAGGCATGTTTCTATAAGGACTTCTGGATAGCAGGCCATTTCTGCTGTAGATCGCTGGAGGTAGCTGCCTTGTCAGTCTGGGTTCCGCTGCCTCTGCTCTTCCCCAGCACCCAAGTTGTTAATTCATTAAATATTCTATACACACATTCTTCAACTTGTGATGGGGTTACATCCAACAAATCTACAGAAAGTCGAAAATATGAAACTATTGCTATCTGAGATGCATTTACTACAGCTAACCTCTAGAATATCCTAGTTTAGCAACACAGTACACTGGGATTGGTCATACAATCTCTTGATCTTGAGGTCATGGAGCTGGCTGAGAGCTGCAGCCACTGCCTACTGTCTAGTGTTGCAAGAATGCTATTGCTTCTGACTGCCTTGGGGAAAGACCCAAATTGATAAAATAGAACAAAACATGATTTCTGTTCAACATGTATTGAGTTCACATCACTAGAGACTTGAAACACTGTAAAGCTGAAAGAGCCTTAGCTTTTGTCATTAAGGTCTTACCATCTTCTACCAAGTTCTCACAGTCCAACTAATTTAAGGATCTTCTGTGGCATGCAGAAGCAGGTTGCAAATGAAAACAACTTAGAGTAGACAGATACTTATGCCATAAAAACTAAACTATCATTTTCTACTTTGTTGTTGTTGTTGTTGTTGTCGTTGTTGTTCTTTCGAGATGGGGCTATTGGCCAGCTTGGTGCTCACTAAGTGCTCCAGACTAGACTCAAACTAATGGTTATTCTGTCTCAGCCTCCAGTGCTGGAATTTTGGATGTTGACCCACAATGTCCACCTTTTTTTTTTTAATCAATTGGTTTCATTTACAACAAACTACACAGTTTTATGTGTGTGCATTTCTTGGTTTTGAAGAGGTATTTTCCATTATTATTTAGTGACCACAGCTAGTTAAACCAATAAACATTGTTATTGGTGAGACTCTATACACTATAGTTTCACAATGTATCTGAATAAGCTACATAGTTTTCTTTTTTAAAATGTATTTTATATTTATTGGTGTTTTGCCTGCATGGTGCATGCCTGGTGCTCAGGGAGGGAGGTATCAGATCCCTTGAGTCTTGAGTTATAGATAGTTATGAATTGCAATGTGTGTGCTGGGAAAAGAAACTAGGTCCTCTGGAAAAGCTCTTAATCTCAGAGACATAACTCCAGCCCCTACTACACATTTCTTTTAAAGTAATGTTCATAGATAATTTAAAGGCACCTTTTATAAATATGAATAAAACTGTGTCTACAAAGATATACATTAGAATATAGTAATCCTCAATGTTAGGAATATATCTATTTTTATGATTAATATACCTCTAGAATTTTAGAGAAGTTAAAAGCCTTTTAAAAAGCAATGATATTTACCTTTTTGAATTAGGGTCTGAGCATTAGGAACTAAATCTGACCAAGGCATAAACTCGCATTGCTGTAAGTCCACAAAATACCCAAACATAGACCGTTCGCTACCAGGTAAGTTGATGTCAGTGTCTGAAAATAACAAACACAAGAATCTAGTAAGAAACTGCCTGAGCAGCGGCAGGAATGCTGCCTGGAAGGTATGGTTTTGTGATACAGCTGTCCGCTGACATCATAAACTTTATCAACCAGGCAGGCCGTTTCCTCCTAGTATCAGCTTGTACAAAAGCAAATGTTTATTAACTTTTAATCATTTTTCACATGTAGAAGAGAGTAAATTATGATCAAATGTCCTAAGAGATCTTATCCCAAAGTGCTTACTACTATTGTGTGTTTGGATACTAGTAAATTCCAGTAACACACTGTCTGTGATCAAACCAAAATACAGATGTTTCCTTTTTCCTTTTCCTTTTTTCTCTTTTCCTTTTTTCCTTTTTCTTTTTCCCTTTTCCTTTCCTTTCCTTTCCCCTTTCCTTTTTCCTTTCCTTTCCTTCTCCCTTCCTTTCTCCCCTCCCCTCCCCTTCCATCCCCTCCCCTCCCCTCTCCTCTTCTTCCTTTCCTTTCCTTTTTCTTTCCTTTCTTTCCTTTCCTTTTTGACACAAGGTCTTATGTAGCCCAGGCTTGACTCAAACTCCTAATCTTCCTGCTTCCACCCTCCAAGCTCTGGGATTACAGGCACGAGTCACAGCACCTCACATTACTATGATTTTAATGTTGTTAGTTTTGTCTCAGAATCCTTACATATTTTGTTGGTAAAACTTGATGTTAAATTCATAAAATTGGTTTGTGAGTCCTGTGTGTGGTACATGTATATGTGTGCACACATGTATGTGTGTGCACACATGCACTTTGGCCAGAGTAGGAAATCAAGTGTTTTCTGTTATACTCTACTGTTCTGCCTTGAGACAGCATGGCTCTCCCTGAACCGTAAACTTACCATTTGGCTAGGCCCATTGGTCTCAGAATGGTTCCATCTCCCTACCCCAATACTGGGGTTGTAGACATATGCAGCCATGCCTGGCTTTTTTACTGGGTGCTGGGGGTTTGAACTCAGGTACTTAGGGTTACACAGCAAATTCTATTGCCTTCTGACCCATTTCTTCAGCCCTTATAGGTTGCTATTATTTTAAATATAGTGTTCTTGGATCTTTGAGTCTTTGGCTTCCATTTTACATTGTTGCCCCTCTGCCTTGTGTTTGTATCACATACGTTTAGTAATTTATTTTTAGCATTCTGTTTGTTTCAAATATACTGATTTATATCTTTTCATGGTTAATCTGAAGCCTTTTGATATTTCTAGCCACAAAGAACTTAACATTCTTTACCCACTGAACACACTTTCCATCAGTTTGAGATTCTCTGTATAATTCAGATTTTATACTTTTATCAAAAATTAGTTTATAATCAGTAGACAAGAAAATCCACTGACCTCTTTCTGAATCATCTTCAAATACTTCACGGACAAAGTTGTCAAAATTATAGTTTACTTCCGCAAGGGAGTCATGTTCAAAAGTTGAACGAAATAGCACATCTTCTTCATGTTGGTCTTCACGCTTTAAAATTCCTCCAAATGCCCATGTGAATGCGAACACAAATATCTTCTGAATCATCATTGGGAGCTTCTCAGGGTTTCTCTCCAGGAACCACACCCCCTCATCCTTGTAGTAGCTGTGACAGAAAGGTGGCCATCAAAAGCTTTATCTTTATAGTTCAATAGTTGATCTCAACATCATACCGAGATTTTACTATTAAAAATTGAAATACAGTATTGATACAAAATTTTCAATCTAATATATAATGTTTCCTCTGATAACAGTCACATAAATTAATTATTGTGTTTATTTTTAAAGTAGCATATGTAAAAGGCATTCCTACCTAACCTTGTTTCATATCTGTCTTTGGTAACATGTTGACAAATTTATAATATAACTTTAACACGTATTTGCATTTGGTATATGTACATGGATCTTTATCTTGGTTCATGTTTAGTACTTTATTTGATAAGTATACATGTTTTAAATATGCACATCATTTTACTTGGTATTTATATGTAATCCTTTTTTATTTTACATCAGATTCCAGTTTAAAGTTTGCTTGTTGAGGGGGAGAGGATTTGATAATTCTGTGTTTTATGAAAGACCTAAGTAAATAGTGATTCACTTGGTATTTTTCTTAGCAAGTGTTAAGGGTTGGCTTAGCTCAACATGGCTGATGTCAGGCAGCCAGAATCTGAGGAGACTGTTTCTTTCTATTTATTTATTTATTTATTTATTTATTTATTTATTTATTTATTTATTTAGGTTTTTCGAGACAGGGTTTCTCTGTGTAGCCCGGGCTGTCCTGGAACTCACTCTGTAGACCAGGCTGGCCTCAAACTCAGAAATCTGCCTGCCTCTGCCTCCCAAGTGCTGGGATTAAAGGCGTGCACCACCACCGCCCGGCCAATGTGCAGCCCAGGCTGGCCTCGAACTCGTGATCCTCCTGCCTCTGCCTCCTTCAGCAAATCCTACTGGTGTGCGCCACCACTACCGGCGAGGAGACTGTTTCTATCTGAGGTTAATTCGGACTCCTCATGGTTCATTAACTGTGAGTTTTATGGAGACGGAGTTGGCATTGATAGGGTTAAACAGGAGGTTTGGGCCCAACTTCTAACACCTTCCATTGTTTTAGTATTGCCATAAAATGATCTACAAATTATGAAAACTGAAGTATATCAGATGGAAATCCACTAGCAACTCTCAACATATAGCACATTTGCATAATTCTATCTGAAACATCCTGCTATGTGTAATTTAGCAAATATTTATTAAATGTTTACTATTTATTAGTCACTCTTAATGAAGTGGAAATGATGCCTTTTGCCTGGGACAGGAAAGAATGAGAAAAGCATGAGGAGATGGGTAAGACTCGAGGAGGAACCCTGGGCTAACATGGGAAGCTCACAGATAAGCACACAGGGAATCTGGGATAGCAGCTAGGGTGGTTCCTTCAAGGGAAGGGATGTAATACATGCTATACAGAAAGCTAGAGGTGGACATGTTCTCTAACCTGGTGACCTTTGTACTAAGTGTGTTGTAGAGACCACACCAGACGCTTCCTAAGATCCTTCCATGAGCTTGCTCTTCTCGGTCTATAAAACCGATCTTTATGGAAGCTATCACATGTAGTCAAGCTATGGAACGTATCTTTGTGGAAGGTTTCACAAGTACTTTACAGAGAGGTCCGATGCAGTCATGGCCAGTCTCTAGTTAGCTTATTTTGTTCCTTAAATGGATTTATGGTTGCTTTATTGTGCACACAGGACTGGGTTAACTGTTACCATGAAAGTTTTCACCAAACTGTGCTGTGCTTAAGTATGCCTAAAATAAATCACTCCTCAAATTTGAGCTGATACCGGCTATGTGGCTTGTGTTGAACTGAACTGTCTCTTTGCCTCTTGTACACTGTCACCCTGCTGGACGTAGAGGTTGCAGAGTCCCCTTAAGGTTAACAGATTTAGACTGCGGACTCAGCAAAGGCCATCCAGAAAAGGCACAGAAGGAATAGTTTCATAGCTACAATGTGTCACGCACATAATTATGTATCAACTTCTAATCTGGACAGCTGGCATGTTCCTTTACCATTCTAGTTTATCAGTGAGACAAAGCTTTAAAACTTTACTACTGGTTCAGCGGTTCATAGCTTATAAATAGCTGATATGGGAGACAAATCACATGAATCTTATTCCTTTCTAAATGTGTAAAGGAAAGATGGGTGTTTTTATAACAATGTTATTATTTTAAAATATCATAAAAGCATGCATTAGTTACTCAGAGGACTCAGAGTTGGGTTAAAATAATGTAGACTTTATTATTGTGAGACCACAAAATATGGTTTCCTGACAATCAGCCCATGTGCCCTTGGGTGTCTCACACCTAGTAGGCCCTTCCCAGATTCACCCCTAGGGTGACACTGACCTCCTTTCCTCCTTGAACTTGACTTTTGCCTTTGTCTCTGTAGGGAACACGTCGTCCATTGCTTCATGACCTTAGAAACAACAGGATTTTTTTTTGTGCAATTGACAACAGACCTAACATTCCATAGGCTAATTTACAACATTCAACTTGTAGCACTGTCTAGTTGTGAACTGCCAGGGGAGTCTCATTTGCAGCACCTGGGCAGACTGTCTTTGTCTCTCCTCCTTACTCCGTTTGTACAAGGCATCCATGTGACAGAGAAGAGCAGAGTCAAGCATAATTCATTCTTTACACTGCATTTTCTAATATTAGTGGTCTTAATCTTAAGACAAGATGTACCCCCTATAGAATATCTTAAAACAAGAAAAATATACAGAAAAACAGATCATGCAGAGTTTCACTCCCCTCCACAACCATTAAAATATTGTATCACTTGTGAAATAATAAAGTACACAACTTATTTAACGATTTAAACTTAGATAAAAATGAAAAGACTTGTGTTTTTATCCTGCATTTTGATTTCTAAGGCTGTCTTTATGTCACTCCATATCATGTAAAATATGGTTTCATTGCAACATAATTTATTAAGCCAATCAGGAATTCAGATTGTCTTTATGATGGTAAATAGTTCTGTGGTCTATAAAACTCCCTGTGCACAAACTTTTGCATACTTCTCCAATTATAATGCTATAAAAGTTCCTAGAACAACAACTGAGGAAAACTTTCCAGTATTTTCAGCATGTATTGCTAAATAGCTTTAAAAAATTTACTCGATTATTATTTCAGTCACCTTTTAAAAAATGTTTGTAGTCTGGTACATTCTAGCCGACAATGACTATCAAGGGTATGAAAGAGCTGACAGGCCCCAGCTTTTCCTGAGGAACTACCAACTGTTAACGGCTGCTGTAGGAGAGAGTATCGTTTTATTCAGTGGAGTAGCCACTGGGGGACTAGATGAGGAGAGAAGAACTAATTTTCAATGCCTTAAACTTAATATATAATGTTGGTTCCAATTTTACGAGAAAAATTGAACACATCAGTTGTATTCCAACTACCTTCCTTTTTCAAAAGCCACATTTTTAACCATAAAACTGTATGAGGTGGCAAAGTGTCATTCCACGATCAGGAGGTATAGGCACAAGGTTATCCTGGTTAGAAGTTCAAGGTTAACCTGTGCTACATGAGACTCCATCACAAAACAAGACAAAGAATAATTTTGAGCACTCCTCTTTTCTTAGTATAACAAATTGAAAAAAATTGTGTAGTCCCCTGTGGAGAAAGCCCAGTATAACTATTCTGTAGAAACTTCCTATGGTGTAATAGAGGGTCCCAGGTCCCTCTTCATTCTATAGGTTGTGGGCTTGACATCTAGCTCGTGTGGAAAGAAGTGACTCCTTCAACTTCTGGTCTCTTTTATGCTTGTGATACATTACTGAGTTCGTGTGTGTGTGTGTGTGTGTGTGTGTGTGTGTGTGTGTAGATAATCTTCATTTTCTGAGAATCATTTCTGCTCATCTTTGGCTGAATTCTCCTGGTTTCAGTAGGTTAAAGGCCACTATGGATCTCTATTAATCTTCAAAACTATCAGGAGGTCTACTGATTCTATCTGGTTTGCATTATCTGGTTGGCAGAATGCCAGCACTAAGCCATTCATTAGGAATCCATTCCTCAGAAGATTAAGGGAATTGTTTTAAAATCTGGACCAACATCTTTCACATGCCGTTAGGAGTCCAGGTTGTTTGTTTCATTATCTTTGGAGTTCAGCCACTCTCATTTCTAAGCCCTGGTTCTGAACTTTAAATGATCCCAGGAGGGGGACTTTAGTGTCTCCAGATTAGAGACATTCAGCATTCCCCCAAGACAGGATCAAAACATCTGGTGACCAGTTCATTCAGGTGGGTGACTGTGATGTTCACAGCCCAACTCTGCCTTAAAGATATGCAAAGAAAACGACTCCTGAAGACATTACAGGGTAGTGCATTCCCTCTGCCTGGAACCTAAGGGTGCTAAGCTGCTAAGGGTGGCGCAGCGAAACAGAGGTTAGGGAAACCAACCTCTCTCCAGGCAGGGTGCTACGCAGGAGTAGAACATTCCTGAATGTGCTATTAAATTCTGTTAAAATCAGTATTAATGAGAATATTTAAGTTATTGTGGGCATCCTTCTGTTGTATATTTTCCTATGAATGAACATAAATGCTGGGGGATAGGGTAAGGAGATTTCACTTTGACAACTACTAGACTTTCCTCTGGTACCCTGGGCGAGCTGACATGGGCTAGCCCTAGCCCCTCTGTACATTCCATAGGTGTCTTTGGTAACCCATGCGACAGGTGCAGCTGCAGCAAAATTCCAGCTAGAGAAGGTGTGGCCCTCACCATGACTGTTGCAGTGTGCAGGCTGTATCAGCTTGTTTGCTATCACAGAACTCACTGAACTCTCTGACTCAGACCCAGACAAGTACTGAGCCCAGGGCCTTGTGCATGCAAAGGCTCTACCACTGGCACCGTGCCTCCAGACTTTCTTAGAGACATGAATTTTCTTCCTACTACTTCCTGAGGACTGGGTATGGTAGTCAACACTGTGCCCAGTTAACATGTGGCTTTTTGTGACCAGCTTCCTTCACAGAATGGAAGTATACAGGAGTATACTATATTTTTTCTACATGTTTATCAGACAAGAGGCAATGGGCTGGTTCCACTTTCCAGCTGTTATCTGGATGGAATGGTATTATAAGAATTTCTGTATAAGTTTTTGCTTGGGCATATGTTTCAATATCTCATATTTATATTTTTGTGAGCTAAATTTGTAGGATCATAGGTTACAACATTTAATTTGATGATATTACTACCAACTGTTTATTGGCTGCTACTTTTGCATCCTTTGCTTTTAGGATGCTGTTGTGGGAAATAAATCACTAGATTCTTGTTTTAAAACTGAATCAGAGAATATCTGTCTTTGAGAGACTTATTCTTCATATAAAATATAATTACTTTTAACATTCATTTTAGTTGTTCAGATTTCTGTTTCTTTTTGCTCTTTTAAATATTCTATTATAAAGCTTGTTCCTGCTTTCTTCTTGAATCAGTATTGACACTGAAAACTTTTGCTTTAATCTGTCCTTGCCTGTCTTTCTCGGGAATTTGTTAGAATCTTTCATTAACATTAAATATTCTTAAATTGTAACAAATTATTTCCCATAATAAGCCTCATATCAGGTAATAAACAGAAACAATCCATTCTTAGAAAGGTACAGGAGGAACTATATAACTATAACTATATATATATAACTATATATAATAGTATAATAGTAAAGTAATATGATTATATTATTTTATAACATAACTCTAATATTAAAATATACCATATTATTATAAAGTAATATAATATAATAGTAATGTAACTATAGCAACAATAAAAAGCAAATGCACATCAATACTGACACAGTCCTACCTCAGTACCACAACACACTGGAAAATGGAAAATCATGACTCATAAGCACCACAAGAAAATGCAGTGTTCACCAAAACTAGAACTTCCACATGATCTGGCAGCCTTACTTCTACATTTATTTTTAGGAGTATGCATGTGCTTCCTAATAGCCATAACACAGAATCTCTCTGAGCTTCCACCGTATGAGCAGAAAGGTAAAGATGATGTGGTGTATGCACAGGACAGCATTAATCAGTATTAGAAAGAAAACTCCTTCATTTATGACAACGTAAATTCCCTTTGAAGACACTCTGTCTAACACTAGGCATAGAAATTCAACTGAATGAAATCAATACCGATTGATTTCATACAAATTTGAAATCTAAAAGTGTTGGTTCCACATAAGTAGAGAACAGAATGATAGCTTCTAGAAGTTGGTCAGATTAGACGGGCAGGGGCTTGGGGGAGAATGTAACATAGGTGTCGGCCTAAAGGATACAGAGTTTCAGCTAAGGAGGAAGAACTGAGATCTAAGACCCACTGTACTACATGATGACTATAGTTACTAAGGTGATGCTCTCCAGTCTAGTCATAGCTCATCTTGGTTCAAATATATACTCATACCACCACTGTCTGTCATTTTCAATTATAGCTAAATAAAAACACATACTATACAAAATAGACGCCATGTCAGGTAATTTTGTCAAAATGTAGGCTAATGTTAGTGATTGAGAGGTTTGATGAGCTAGGCAAAGCTAGCACGTCTCATCTACGGAGTCCATGACACAAATGCCCTCAAGGAGAAAAGACAGATGTGAGGTCAGTTTGGAAGGTTTTAGTTCACAGTCCTGGGCTGTGTTGATGCTGGCCCCATGGTGAGGCAGACCGTCATGGCAGGCAGAGTGTGCAGAGGAGGAGCTTGTGGACCTTATTGCGGATGGGCAGCAGACTGGAGGGTGGGATGGGACAGGAGCCAGGGCTAGCATCCCCCAAGAACCTGCACACAATGGCCTACCCCTTCTTGTTGGGTGCCTTGTCCATACTATCCATAATCAAGATGCCAAAACATGAACACTTAGAAGAAACAGTTCACATTCAAACTGTTATAGTCCACCCTCTGGTCTCCAAAAGACTCATATCCATTTCAGAATGCACAGTGCCATCAGTCAAACTGTAGGAGTCCCCACAGTCTTAACAGATCCAGTATTGTTTAAAGCTCAAGTTCAGACTATCTGTCCATAACGCACATAATTTTTTTTTTTTTAACGGACAATGGCAAAGACTAAACGTTCTTACTCCATTTTGGAGGAACTGAAAGACTGATAGGAAGGAGAGGTCAGATGAGAGCAAGACTGGAATCCAGCGGTACGAATCATAAACTCTGTGGAACCGTGTCAGTACTCAGGACACTGCTGTTTTGATGTGGGTTTCAGCGGTCTTGGGCAGGTAGGCTTGTTCCTGTTACCTTGTTATTTTGGAGCCTGAATGGCCTTTCTCTTGGACCTTGTATGTTCATAGCTTGTAGCTCCCCCAGTAGATTTCTTATTCCTGGCATCTCTTGACTCCCAGGGCCTCCACTGAGGATTAAGTTTTGCTTCAGAGCTCTATGCACTAACCTCTCAGGAGCTGCCTATACAAATACTGGCCTGACACAGACCACCTGGCTTCCCAGGCATTCCTTTAAAATCTGTATGAAATTGTCCTTGATCTCATAATTTTTGCATTCTATATTCCTGCAAAACCAGAATCACATATGTAACAACAGGGCTTGCTACTAGTTCAAGATCAAGGCCGCTTGGACTTAGTTGCAGTAGCCTCTGGGTACTTGAGCACAGTGAAAAAAAAAATCCAAGGGAAACGACTTTCTAGGCAGGCCTACATAAGTATGGTACCCTGGAGGTACTGTCATCTCAAGGGAAAGTCTTGAAAATGAGTTTACTCTTTCAGACTCTTGACTTTAAAATTGGTTGGGGGGGGGTCCAGCCAACTCTCACAATGTCCTCAAGGCATCTTCTTTATTGTCCAAATACAAAGTGTCTGGCTTCTTTTTAATTGAACTAATTTCTTCAGAAATCAGGCCTGTTGGGAGTCCCAGTTTTAAACTGTTTTTTTTTTTTAAAATAAACCTGTATAACCCCCTCCATACCCCCAACTTTTTTCTGCTCTGCTTTTTGTTCCAGATTCTTACTATAAACTTGGCTATGAGCAGCTAGCAGTAACAATGTCATAGCCCAAATATTAGGCTGTCTCAGAATTTTCCATGTTAAACTAAATGCTATAAATGTTTAAATTCAGCCTTATCCAGTCTCAGACAATAGACAAAATGCAGACAGATTCTTTGCTTGAATGTAACATGAATGGATTCCAGTCCAATTCTCCAGTGAGACCTCATTTAAACTTGGCACTTAGCCTTTCCTTCCTGTGGGCGCCCTGGTCTCAGCTCCCACATAAACTATTCATTAAGCTCTGTTTACGTCTTAGGGCTTCTGCAGTTTGATGTCTCCAAATATTTTCACATTCTGCAGAAACAGTTCTATAGGCTCAAGAACCACACAGTGAGGTTTAGCAACAGTAATGAGCCCCCACTGCTGGTCCAATCTTCTGTTAGTCACTTTTTCTGTCTTTGTGACAAAACGTCTAGCATGAATAATATTGAGGAGGAAGGACTTGTTTTTGGCTTATAGTTTCAGACATTTTAGTCCATAGTAGATTCAACTGGTTCTTGACCTTGGAGAGCTAGATCATCATGGATGTGAGAATATAGAGAAGGCTCACCTCACTGTGAACAGCAAGGAGAGAGAGCAAGAGTGGAAGGAGCCAGGAGCAAGATGCCACAAGTTCTGGCACCTAGTGACCTACTCTCTCCAGCTAACTTGAAACAAAGCCCTCAACACATGAGCCACTTAAGTCATAGTGGATTTATCTGAATGCAGCCCTTCACACACACACACACACACACACACACACACACACACACACATATATATATATATATATATATATATATATATATATATATATATATATATTA